TTAGGTTTTCTCTTAGACAGGAGTCGATGGCATATATTTCTGCTTGGAATGCAGTAGTGTATTTTGACTGATGTCGCATCTGGGAGTTTGTCCATATATTCCAGCGCCGCTTCCAGTTTCTGTTTTGGAGCCGTCAGTAAACCAGACAATTTCTTGTTTAGCTATTGCCCCGGTATCTCCTACCGGGACAATCTCGATGGCGAAGGGTTTTTCGAGGGATTTTTTTGGCATCATATAGTCATGGTTAAAATCGGGTTTGTGATTATTTTGGTGATAGCCGCATGTCCATTTGGTTTTGGATTCCAGGTTTCGTTCAGCTGGAGACGATATGCCACGATTCTAGCCTCCATTGGCTAGCTCCAGGTTTGCTTGTTTCTGGTTCACTTTAGGCCACCTTACAAGTGCACCATATGTTATCATTGGTCTTACAACCGTAGTGTATATCCATTGTACAACTGACGGTTTTAGTCCCCATCTTTTCCCAGTCGCTCTTTTTAGTGACATCAACGTCATGTTGCTTTTGGTGGTTATATGTTGGATGTGTTGGTTCCATGTCAGCTTCATATCTAGGATGATGCCTAGAAATTTAGCTTCCCTGTCAAACTCCAAGTTTTTTTGGAATAGGCTGAGGACGATTAAGTCCTCCAGATTTCTTTTTCTCGTGAAAGGAATGTGTTTTGTTTTTGAGGGGTTGACGCGAAGTTGTTCCCTAGTGCACCATTACTGAATTATTCCTAAGGCGTACTGCATGAGGTTTGATACATTCCTGGTAAATCCTCCCCTAATAAAAACGACGATGTCATCCGCGTAGCATATAGGGTGAATTAGCCTTGATCGTTTAGTTTCCTCAGTTCATCCACGACTAGATTCCACAAGAGTGCTGAAAGTACTCCGCCCTGTGGGCATCCTTTTGTCGCGGTTACTTTAATAGGGGTTTCAGCAATAGTCGAGTTTATAGTCCTGTGTTTTGGCATGGACTTACACCTAAAACACACGGAGCGGTTTTTGCCGAGTCGGCCACCGAAGCGGCGTCCCGTTTATGACACTTCTATTGTATGAACGAGACGGTGTCGCGTCAGAGGCGGCTGCCGAGCGTACCCTGCTGGCTATCATGTGCCGCGCGCGTTTTTACGACTCTAGTCGGCACACGCTCGGCGCATCATTCCCTGTTCGCTTATGGAAGGAAACACACGTCGAGCGGTTTTAGCACGGTTTTTTGATTTTCGTGAACATCAGTGTTGCCAGTTAGAATAAAATTATGGAAAATTTGAACGTTGAGAGGCTAATTAATGAAATTCACATAGGGCCAGCGATTTGGGATATGGGTTCAGAGGAATATTCTAACAAAATCCAAAAAAAAAATCGTCGTCACTAGAAGACGCCATTGCGTATGGTGTGACTGTACGCAAACAACTGGCAACAGCGAGATTATGCATTTTTTAATTAGCTGATCCGCCAGGCGCGGTAACGCTGTGTGTGTTTCGAGCCGCTCCTCCGCCGAATCGGTGCCGACTCGGCAGAAACCGCTCCGTGTGTTTTAGGCCTTAATCCATCTGCATGTGGTATCATTGATCGCCATGATGCCCAGCAGCTCTGACTATGGAGTTGAAGGACGTGCGGTCAAAGGCTCCTTCTATGTCCAGGAATGCCATTAGTCCTTGTTTTCTAGTGAGTTATCTACTCTTGTCACCAGTTGGTGTAGGGCTGATTCGCATGATTTACCTGGTTCAATTTCAATTTCAAAATAAGCTTTATTGTTCAAATTCCCGAGAAATTATTGACAAAGCAACAGGATTCTAATACTAATTCCTAACTACAATGTAGGCACTATAGCGGCCATAACAAACAGTACCTAACTACAAATATTTTTAAAATAAAATCCATGAAACAGACTAGAATAAAAAGGAAACAGTGTAAAATACACACAAGACATAATTAAAACAGAAAGAAATTAACACAAAAATAGAAGTCTAATAAAAATTAATATAGGCAGAAAACTTTTTAAAAAAAATAAAATATAAATAAAATTTAAAAAAAAAAAAAATCTTGGGCAATTATTCATAAAACAAAAACAACTATTGATAAAATCAGTCATAGGTAAAAAAGAGTAAAACAAAAAATACACATATATAAATTAGACTAGGAATAGAATTCTTGTAGGCTGTAGTATGCGACGAAAAGCAGAATAGTCATGTGTATTTTTTATTTCAGTAGGGAGTTCATTAAAGACCTTAACACTCTCGTAGATCACAGAGTTCTTTGTAAGAGCAAGTTTGGGTATAGGTAAAGGCAAGTTGTTTTGTCTTAGATTATAGTTTGATTCTCTTTCAAAGCCTTGGAATTTTTTGAATATTAAACAGGCCGTTTCTAATATGAAAATGCACTTACTGTTAAAATTTCGTGCTTAATGAAAAGTGATTTGCAGCTATCTCTGCATTTCGCCCGACACAAATATCTTACGGCTCTTGTTTGTAAGATAAAAGCAGATTGAATTGAGCTTTGCGTTGAATAACCCCAAAAAGCAATGCCATAGCGAAGATGAGATTCAACAAGAGCATGATAAGTAGTTTTTGCCGAAACCATCCCCAGTTCCTGTGCAACCGTTTTGACTATGTAAAACAGCCCCTTGCAAGTTTTTTATTTAGCATGTCTATGTGATTTGAGTTTTGCATCTATATGGATTCCAAGAAATTTAACAACATCTTTTCATTCTGGGATGTTAACGTTAAGTGCAATTCCATCAAGATAACGTTTAAATGAAAGAATATATTTTTTTTAATGTTCATATACAAGTCAGTTTGCATCACACCACTCTTTAACCTTCCCCAAATCTTGCTCTATCAAATGTTCGTGATATGGGTAACTTGGCCAGGTCATTTACGTATAGCAGAAAAAGAACAGGACCGAAAACTGACCCTTGTGGGACGTCATGTTCAAGACTCAACGTTTCAGAGTCCTCACAATTTGATGTTCTTATAAACTGACTTCTTTCTGTCAGGTATGACTCGAACCATTTGAGTTCTCCTCCCCTGATACCATAATGACTCATTTTGCGAAGCAGTATTCCGCCATTCACGCAATCAAATGCTTTGGAAAAATCACAAAACACTGCTGCCGCCTTTTCGCCATCATTAAGGCTGAAGAAAAGCTTTTCTAAAAATGAGAAAATGGCATCCTGGGTTCCTTTTCCTTCCTGAAAACCAAATTGTTCTAGTGTTATAATATCTTTGTTGCATAGATATTCAACCAATCTAGTTTTAACTATCTTTTTTATGATTTTCTAAATTGGACGGTAATTAGATGGATCCTGATCATCCCCACTTTTAAATATTGGAACAACAACAGCCAACTTCAAACAGTCTGGAAATTCACCTGCGATAAAGGAATCATTTATACAAGTCACAAGTGCCATGAGAGTTTCTTCTGGCAGATTTTTAAATATCTTTAAGTTGTCAAAACCTGAGGAATTTTGTTTTTTGATGGTATTGAAGATTTTTTTGAATTCCGTTACATTTATAGGAAATAGCTCAAAGTTGTCTGTCGGTATCAAAGGTGGTAGAAAGCTTAGTCGATCTTTATTTGCCATTAGGTTACTTGTTAATTTACTGGCGATTGTACAGTAAAACTGATTTAGTTCTGATGACGTCATATTCAGTTTGCTTGTTGTCTTTTCTGGTTTCCCTCGCATTTCATTAATAATTTTCCAGTATTCTCTTTGAGAGTTAGCCGCGTTGCTGATCCTTGTATGATAGTAATTTTTTTTCGCTGTGCTTATCACTTTTTTATATATGCTACGATATAGATTAAAATAATCTGAGTTTGCAAACTTTCGTATTGTATGTAAAGACCTAATATTTTTGCCCGCAGTTCCAATCCCATTTGTGATCCACCGTTTTTTAGGTTTTATTTTCAGTTTTCTTAAGGGAAGACTTTTGTTAAAAATAGTCATAACTGTTTTTTGAAAAAACTCCATAGGATTGGCTGAGTTTTGGATAATTTCTCAGTTGATGGTGATAGCCAAATATCCAAATGTCTCAAAGTTTCTAGTACTAAAAATTCTACCCTTCTTTACAATTTTCTTCTGCTTTTCGTGTTGTAGTACTAATTCGGCCGTAAGGGCTTCATGATCAGAAATCTCCGAAGGAATTACGTCGCAACTTTGATAACTTTGTTCGATATTGCTACAAATGTAATCAATAGTTTTTGCTGAATGACCAGTTATCCGTGTTGGCTCGTTCATGAATACCTTGAGATTAAAACACGAGAGTAGATTGACCAATGACTTTGTATCTCTGGAATTTATGTCAACGAAGTCTATATTTAAGTCTCCAGCTAGGATTAACCTTGATGACAATGGGAATCTGGACAACAGTAACTCCAAGGATTCCAAAAAATCCAGTGGTTTACCTGAATGTGGTCTGTTTACACAGATTACAAAAATGTTAGGTTTTTCATGTTTATTATAGAAAATCAAATTCGTTTTGTTTGAGAAGAAAGTTATACGTATCCAGATCCACAACATCATGGTCACTTAAGAAGGATTCGTGAACGAGTATAATTGTACCACCATATCCATTCTTTCTGCAAAAACTTAACAGAACTCTGTAATCAGGAAGGAAACACACACTTTTCCTCCCTCAGCCAGTGCTCTGTTAGCAATACAAATTTAGGCATTTCTTTTAATTCATTTAGCAGAACTATTGTTAGTGGTAGTATGTATAGTTTCGCCAGTCTCTGTTAGCCTATAAAAGTTTTTGATATACTAACAGCTATATTATCCGCAATTGCCTTTTTTGCGGTATATTTGAGCACCAGGTCACGTGGCTGAAAGAAACAGGATGATGAACTTAAAAAAGAGTTAATATTAATAAACGTGCTGCCCTCACTCATATTCTGAACAAATGTATAAAGTTTAATGGTAATCTGATCGATAAATTTGTTTAGAACTATTCTACTTCCCCACAGAAGTAATGATAGAATGATTAAATTTGTTTTCGTACCTGTTTGCCACAAACACTGAAACACTGTTTCCTCTACCTTGCCCCCCATTAGGGCGTTTCTTAGTCCCCCGCTGATGACGACATAGTCCATTTGCTTGAAGTCCTTTGTGAGGTTCTGGAGATCTTTCACAATGTGCTCCGAACATGCATTGCGTTTCACTATTGAGATTACACTACATTTTTCCAAACCCATTTGCTTTTGCAGAATTTTTTGCATATCAGCAATAATGCTATCTCTAATAATCATAATTTTCCGGAGTTTTCCTTAGCTTTGCGCTGTTGTCTAGATTGTTGTTGGAAAGCATGTTGGTTTTGGGTGGAGTGGCCTCTGTTTCAGTGAGGTTCCTGATGTACTTTTCAACTAGTTTCTCTGTCACCTTTAACATAAAGGACGATAAGCTGATCGGTCTGTATGACCTGGCCTCAGATGGGTCTGTGCCAGGTTTTGGGATAAAGATCGCATTTGCTTCTCTACAGGACCCAGGAATATGGCCTGTTGCCAGGCTGGCTCTGCACAGTCTGAGGTGTGGTGCGACAAGATCCACCACCTCTTGTAGAAGTGCTGGTATTATTTCATCTAGTCCCGGTGATTTGAAGCTGTCAAATGAGCCTATTGCCCATTTTATGCCATCGTAAGTTACCGCTTTTTTAGCAGTCCTCCTTTTTCGCTTCATTACGGAAAGCGGAACTGCTTGATGGGTTACTGCTATCATGGTTTACTTCGGTGGAGTCTGGAAAATGGGTTTGAAAAAGTAAATTCAATGTTTCTTCCCCATTTATTGTGAAGTTCCCGTCAGGTTTTTCAATGTTTCCCGTCGGTTCTATCGGACTCTTGCCTAGAATTTCCTGAAAACGGGCTCTTTCGGGAGTGTTTTCAACTTCGCTGCAGAACTTTTTCCAGGATTCTATTTTTGCTTTCCGGTTTTCTTTATTGTATTCGGTTAGGATTTGCTGATATGCTTCCCAGTTTCGGGGTTTCTTTGCCTTAATAAAAAGCTTCCGTGTATTTTTCCTGAGCATTTCGAGGTTTGCATTCCACCACTTTTGTTTGCGGGTGGTTTGCCTCGATTCTGCGCAGTTTTCATGATATGAGGTTTGGATGACTTCCTGCAATTGCAGGCATACCTCCTCTATATCTGTTCTTGTCTTAACTACCGTTTTAATGTTGGGAGGTTTAGTCTAAGTTCCTGTCGGTATTTCTCCCAGTCAGTATTACGAGGGTTGCGATATACACGCTCTGGTTTAGCAATATGTTTGATTTCCATTTGAATATACCTATGATCCGAGTCGACCACCTTGCGTCTATGTTCGAAAGATTGCAATGAATCGGTGAAAGTTGGATTATCGATCATTGCTCGTCTTTGTACTGCATTTAATAGAGCCAACGAATGCCTAGGAGCATCGCTCCAGATGTGGGAACAGTATTCCATACACGGTCTGATCTGAGTGTTATAAAGGAGAAGTTGTTCAGAAGTAAAGAAGCTTTTTGCACTAAACAGGAAACCTATTTTTGAGAAGCGCTTTTGACGATCGAAGATACCTGGTCATCCCAAGACAATTTGGTCGGTGAAAGATACTGAGGGATTGATAGAAAGGTTTTGTCCCGACACTGGATTATCATTAGCGGAAGATTTATTATTTGAGAATACTATTGCTTGGGAGCCGGGAGAGAATTGAGCCTTGAGGAACGTCGAAATTTATAGGCAGTGTATCAGAAGACACGCCATCGACCACCACATGCAGTGACCTGCCTTCCAAAAACTACCCAGCCAATAGCAAATTTCGTTCGGAAGACCATACGATGGAAGTTTGCTGAAGAGACCTTTGTGCTACACCTGATCAAAAGCCTTAGAGATGTCCAGGGCGACAATTCTGGATTCGCCATGGTTTTCGAGAGTCGAGTTCCAAATATGCCTGACGTAGGTACCTACGCCAGCAGATCCCCTATTGATATTTCAGAACGAAACCTGTACTGTTTGTCAGAGATGAACTTATTGGCTTCGAGGTATTTGACCAGTTTCAGGTTGACTGTCTTTTTTTTGGAAAGTACGGATAGAAGTGAGAAGCGAGGAAGAGCCCTTTTTAGGATGGGCTGAGAGTGAAAACAGCTTGCATAGAGCTGGAGCCAACTCTTAGCCGCTTTCGGGTGCCACAGTTTGAGCACTCCAGAGTTACTCCCAAGTACTTCGTCCGCGCTTTGGCCCGTTCGTCTGCGCAGATTTCGCGCTCCGGAGCTGTTTTTATTTTCCTCGTCCCCGTCCCCTGAAGCACATACCTTTTTCCTTTTTCATCGCCACATGATCAAATTCAATTGAGAAAAGTAAGCGTTCGGGTGTAAAGGGTGCAATGCGCATCAGGAGTGGAGTGCTCTAGGAGCTTGACGCCCTACACCCCCTAGTTTTAGGTCTGGATACAACGTTGTTCATGTAAGAACCATTAGAACCAATGCGTGGCAGTGCCTGTGGCGCTCTTCCATTTTCCTTCATCGTGGAATTGGATACAAATTGTCTTATGAACGAACTTTCAAAAGATCAAAATGTCGAACAGTACAATAATTATCTTTAACTCGTCAACTAGCCATCCTGGAAACGCATGCACCTCCCAGCTAGCGACACATGAACTCGAACAAATAAAAGGCAGCGTCAGCTGCCCCTGACCAATTGGATCAGGCGATCTTGGGGGCATTATGTATGTGGGAAGCAAAATGAAATGGATAGACTGAAATAACTTTGGATGTGAAATGATGCAACACACCCGGAATTAAGATTGTCCACCTGACGTCGGCATAGAAATCATTAAAAGGGGTTTACGTCCAGGAGTTCAGGTCGATGGACAAATGAAGCTTCATCATTCATCCCACAACAAAAACATTATTGTTGCTCTTGAATTTCAAAAGATCTGGTGTGAATAGTAAACATAAGCTCTAACTAAGCGTGCCGGTATCAAGAATTAAACGTTTCGAGAAGCACTTTTGCAAAAAAATGCCTGAGCCAATATATTCCAGGCGGTTAAAAAACTGCTAGGTCGAACAAACCTGGTCTTACTGCATCTAAAAAGCCACTAAAAGGGCGGCGATTTAATTCGGGTGCAGGGATCGAGCCTCGATGTTCCAAGTTCCAAAGGTTCCGCGAACAGCACCGATAATTTTATCATTAGGGAATCTATAGATTAGTGGAATTTATGTCTTAATAATAACTAAGGCTTTTCCTATATTCATAGATAAAAATGCCCAAAAGCCCCCAAAAGTTAATTGAATATTAATTTAGGTATATTTTGTCATTCCGGAAATTGTTTAGAATATATGGAATAGGAAAACCCCAAAACTTGAAGTTTCTGTCACCATCTCAAAAAAATAGCGGTTTTTGAATATACCTCATTTTATAAGTTTGAAATAGGTATTATAACGTACTTATTTTGGCAATTGCCTAATTATACTGCATACGGCTAGTCAGCTTCAGTTCGGAGGCCATGGGTCTATGGGTTCCTTGTATACATCTTACCTTTGGGCGCCACCAAGTTAATTGTGACTTAACTAGGAAGATAACCTAATGATGTTATAAACAAAACCTGTGCAATTGGAGAGCTTATCAATAAAACAACTAATTAGGTACAATAATGTATCTGGCTTCTTTATTAAAAAATAATAACAATAATGAATAGGGATACCCAGGACATCATTATGGCTTGTACCAATTTATAAATATTTGATTATAAAAAAATTAATGTAAATAACGCATATATAAATATGACGACTCCAGACAATTATCAATAAGAAATTAGTCTAAACCTTGAGTTCCCTGGCACAAAATTCCAAAAAGTCTCGCCCAAAATCAAATAGGCCGAGACCAACCTTTCGGTATCAAGTCTCAAGATCAAAAGGGCTGATTCTTCCTTTAGATTTCGGAAGAAGGCTTTCACTTGTCAAACTTCTAATTTTGACATTGAAGTAAATTATAGAAAAAAGCGTGTTCAATTTCACTCCAAGAATACGAACTGAAAGTTTGGTTGCATAAAAATGACTGGTGAATATTGAAAAATGCCTATAGAACATATATCAAAAAGTAGAACAGGTCTAAAGAAAACGCCTAGACAAAACAGCTGTTCAATGACATGATGGAAATGAAAAATCAAAAAGTAAACAACAATTATTATCATAACCTCAGATTATTTATTTATCAATTAGATTTGCAAACAGAGATGATGAGAAAATCTCTCCTTTTCCTAAGATTCTAATCAATAACAGCGGGCCCTGCCGTACTGAATCAAACCTTCCTAGATCAATCAACAAAACTTGCAAACCTGCACAAAAAACTTTCAGTAGAAGGCAGTAATCAAGCTAACAAAATCTGGGCACAGAAAAGACAGTTGTTTATTCATTTATTTCATTGTAGTTCTATATAGAATCATATCTACTAGAGCAAAACACAGTAGCATATCAAACAAGAAATTGAAAATGCTACAGTATGAGTACAGATTTTTTTTCTTACCCGACCTGTTAGGCGAGGGGAACAAAGGTGTAGAATGCAGTTTTTGGCAAAATATTTTCTCATCAAATTTCACGGAATCTGTGCATCTAAACTCAGTTTTAGGTGATAGAATAGTCGCATTCCACCCAAGAATTGATATATTTCATAATTTTTTAACAATATGATATAGCAGAAAATCTCCTTCGTCTCGTAGATGTAATCAATGCTAGCTAATACGCTATTACAAAAAACATAGAGTAAATCTTCATTCCATATTATTAGCCATTGATCGTATGAACTGATTTATCTCGATAGTGATTATTTTAATCGGAACCGAAACGTTGGCACTTTGATATGAGGGTAATTCAATAAAGTTCACAAAATCCAAAAAACTTCAATTGTCTATAAAGTAAATATCTTCTAGTTAAGTAGATATTAGACATTATTTCTACACAAATACATTTAGTAGAATTATAAAGAATAGTAATTAATGTTATTACAATGCAATGCGAACATTCTTGCGGTTTTTCATCTAGTAGCATATTTTATTCTGGACAAGCTAAACTGCTCATGGAATCATGTTTACGGAAGTATACAGTCTCTCTCCGCAACTTATGCGTGAAGTTTTTCAATAAATTGACAGTTTGCCTGATTAAAGTATAAAATAATTCTTGGCTGATGCCTCAGCCGGAGCTCAGACCGGAGAAAAATCGGTCGTAAAGGGCTATAATTTAATCCCAGAAAAATAGTT